TGGTAGTTTTAAAGATATTAGAAAGTTACCTGATTTCACACCTTCATCAGATGACAACGGTGAGAGCCACATTTGTTCTCTCTGTCCCAAAACATAGTCTTTAATCTGTAATTGCAGAAAATGTGTTACGATTTCAATAAAACATGGAAACTTGAGGCACCCCTGGCATATGGGTATTTTCCCTTTTGTTGAAAATAAAATGGCCTGATTTCCAGGTCTGCTGTCCTAGCACAGGGAGGGATAAAACCAGTCTGACCTTGGAAAGATAAGTTGCACATTTTCACATGAAGAATACAATATACACAAAGTTAAGGAGAAGGCCTGTAACCTCTCTGGTTACAGACACTGTCTTTAGAATCATGCTTGCTTACTGGTTTTCGCTTTATTCTCATTTCTTTGATTCACAGGAGGAAGTGACTAACTTTTACTTCCAAACCAAGGTGAAGAAAAGTTGTGGTTAGTTGTCAAGCTGGACTCTTGACTTCTACTTTGGGAGAGGTAATAAACAGGATAAAACTCACCATGTATTTAAACAATTGCAAAGATCTTTAAAATGGGCTCTTAACTCTGGACAATGGTATGTTCCCAATGCCAGTAAGCTACACCAGATACAAGGTCTATGCAGCCTGGACTACCAAAGATTACTATCCACAGATGTCCAAAGTAGTGCTGGTGGTGCTCAATCAAGTCTCTGGTTGACAATAAAGAGAGATAGGAAGGCCTGGCCAGATAGCTCAGTGGACTACAGTGCCTACTTAGGCAGATAGATGCAGGGACTGGGGTTCATCCTTAGTGTGCTGTGCCAGCCCTGCCCCCTGGGTGCACTGAGATGGTGATTGAGACTGGGTGTGGTATCATGTGCCTGTAATCCCAGTGCTTGAGAGGCTGAAAACAGGAGAATCACTATTAGTCCAACCTGTACGGTGAGAACCTGTAGACCCTGTACTAAAATACGAGAGGGGGGGAGCCTTTTTATTTAGATTTTTCTTCATGTTCTATATTGTCATGTCATTATAATTTGAAAAAGTATAATTACCTTGCCAAACTGGGATCTTTCTAACTATGTAGAGCTAAAAACAACATTATTCAGTATGTGAAAAGCAGTATTTACAGCCAACATATTTAGCAAGTAACTTTTTCTATAAATATTGAATCCCTGGACAGTTTTTTCTAGATTCCTAAGAGTTGGCTTCAGGAAAGACAAGGAAAATAAAGTGAGAAAAATGTAAAATTCAGGAAAAGTGAACTTGAAGACTGTTTTTGGCATTTGGCAAGTAACTACCCTTGGGTGGATGACTTGGCCAGTACTTGTGAGGAAGGGGTCACTGTGTATATCTTTACTGAACGTTTGAGGAAACCAGAGGGTCCAGCCAATTTCCTTCCAGTATGAGTCTATCATACCTTTAGTATTTAGAAAGTTTGCTTTGACCTTTCCAGGCTCTGTGTTAACAAGAGATGTGAGGAGGGATGAGCATGGATTTACAGTCCCAGGTTTGTCCAACAGAAGTGTTTCAGTGCTCCAGCAGGACTTTAA